TTGCTTCACTGGCCCAAGTTGGCACCATCATTGCGCTCTTCCCTGGTGAGGCAGATCAGTCGCTGGCTTCTGGACGGCCACTCACTGCGGCTGCTGGCTACACACGGTAGCCCATGGCAACCCACTGCCACAAGGGCTGCAGCCTACGCCATCGCCGGCAACTCATGGGCAGCCCAGGTCCAGGTTGAGCTGTTGTTCAGCATCTTAGCTGTGGGGGGCAGTGTCACTGGTCCTCATATGTGGGATCCGAACCCGGGGTCCTCTGGCGTCCCAAACCAGTTCTTAACCATTGCGCCACTCGGCCGGCCCTATTAGTCTTTTTTAATGAATGAATTAAGCTCTTTTTCTTTTCTATGAAAGAATTTGTATTATGCTTGGAATGATATGTTCTTTAAATATTTGGAAAATCTGAGAAATTATCTAGATCTGGTGTTTTCTTTGTGGGAAAAATTTTAACAGATTCTATTTGTTTAATGTTAAAGACATTTGATTTTTATTTCTTCTTGAACAAGTTAAATTTTTGTAAACATTTGCTCATTTCACCTAAGTTTTCAAATGTATTGACATGAGGTTGTTGGTATTATTCTATTATTTTTTGTTTAATTCTTATTGCATTTTTAAGTATGCCTCCTCTTTTATTTTTAATATTACTTGTATGTATATGTGCCTTCTTTCTTTTCTCCCTTGATAAATTTTGTCAATGGTTTGTCATTTCATTAGTCCTTTCAAAGAAACAACTTTTGACTTGATAAATCTTCTTACTTTTGTTTTCAATTCCATTATTCTGAGGCTCATACTTTATTATTTCCTCTCTTTTAATTTCTTTAGATATTTTTCTATCATTCCTTTTCTAATTTTTAAAGAAGAATGCCTAGCTTATTTTTTCAGTCTGTCTTTTTTCTTAAATAAGCATTTAAAATCTATACATCTTCTTCCAAGTACCACTTTAGATGTATCTAAAAGTTCTGGGGGAATTTTTGCTATCATTCAATTCTAAGTATTTTCTGATAGTAATTTTTTACTCATGGATTATTTAGAAATGTGATTTTCAATTTCCAAATACATGAGTTTTTTGTTATATTTCCAAAACTGAATTCTAATTTAATTGTTTTAAAATCAGAAAATATGGTATAAGAAGCCCAGTTTTAAAATTTGTTAAAACTGATCAGTTTTGATGTACTCTATTTGTGCATGAAAAAAATGGGAATTCTCCAGGTGTTGATGTATTCATTAAACCAATATTGATAATTATATTGTTCATATCATATATGCTTATTGATTTGCTTTTTTGATCTAACAGTATTAAAAGAAATGGTTTAACGGCTCCCACCATTTTGATGGATTTGTTCATTCTCTTTGCATAATAGTGCTATAAATCTTTGCTTTATATGTTTCAAAGCCATATTATTAACTAAATACAAGTTTAGAATTATTACATTTTCCTAGTAAATACAATTCTTGCGATATGTAATGATCCTCTTTCTCTCTAGCAATGGTTTTTGCCCTAATGTCTATTTATATGATAATAATATAGCCTTATCAGTTTATTTTGCTATTTGCTTGTGCATCTTTTTAAACCTTCCTATGTCCCTATATCTTACGTATGTTCTTAAAAAGTAACTTTTCCAAAATTTGTTGTTTTTACAAACAAACAAACTCATAGATACGGACAATAGTATGCTAGTTACCAGAGGGGTAGAGGGGTGAGGGGAAAATGAAGGGGGTAAAGGGAGTAAAACATATGGTGACAGAAGGAGACTAGACTTGAGTGGTGAGCATCCAATACAATATACAGAATGTATTATAGAAATGTATGCCTAAAAATTAGATTTTATTAACTTATGTTACCCCTATAAATCTAATTTAAAAAATTTGGTTTTTAATTCTATCACCCTTCCTCTGACATTATTATATTTTAATTCTACCTTGATATTTTTTAACCCCCACAAATTCAACATTGTTACTTTAGTTTATAAATCAATGTTTATTTAGATTTTCCACATTTTCACATTTTCTATATCACTTCTTATAGTTCAGGTCTTATTTCTGGAATCATTTTCTTTCTACCAGAAGTAGTACACTCAAGAATTTTCCTAGTAAGCATCCAGGTATTAAATTCTATTTTTTTCTTAGTACTTTGAAGATATTAAACTATACTAAACTGTCTTCTGCTAACTGTTATTGTTATTGAGACAGCAGCTGTCATTCTAAATGCCATTCTGTATGCTTTGTTTGCTTTTATGATCTTTTTTAATTCAGCGTTCTTAAGTTTGACTATGATATCTAGTCATGTTTTATATTTTTACAACTTTATTGAGGTACAATTGACTAAAATAAGCTGCCCATATTTAGAGTGTACAATTTTGATGTTGTTGGACGTATGCATTTCAGGAAAAGGCAAGATCAAAGAGTGGAAGCTAGCCTGAAGGATAATTAACAGACTTTCAGAACCTAGTGTCGTAGGCTCAACAGCTGAGTGGTAGAAGGGCAGACACCCTTCTTCTGACATTACTCACTACTATTACCTTCAACAAAGACAGAACTTGTAGGATTTTTAGAATTAGAAGTTTTAGATATTTTAATTCCATCCATCATAAAAATATAATTTTTACTTATTTTATCTACTTAAAAGAAGGCCTTGGCAGAGATAACTTTTAAAAATATATTCCCATAATTTCCTGTTACTGTCCAGCACGAGCTCTCTGGCCAGCCATTGTCTCTGGGACATCCCCAATCATGCCATACTTGTTTCTAACTCCCAACCCTTGCTTGTATTCTTCTCTCTGAAGTGCTCCTTCCCTTTGTTCTCTGCCGTGCTAAATCTGGGTCCGACCCCAACTCTCCCACAGGGACTTCATTTGTCATTCTAGCTCACATCTCTTCCTCTGAGCTCTGCTACATGACATAACGAATTGAATAATCAGGTAATCTGTTACACTTGTAGTATTGCTTAACAGCTTTGTGTATTTATATGACTTGTCTCCCTAGTCACTAGATGTTACTTAAGGACAGAGATTCCAGGTCTGGAAGTTAACATTTTCATTGTATCCTCCACAGCACTTAGAACATGAAATAGTTCCCATAGCATATTTAACTCTTGTTTAATTGAATTTAGTAAAAATTATCCATTGGATAAATGCATTTGAGAGTCAATTAAATGCCACCTCTTTAACACCACAGTTTAGTTAAAGGAACTATAGAGCTGATGGGAGTTTAGCCTTTTCTGACCTGCTACTGCATGACTAACAATAACTTTCACAAAAAGATGTATGTTTCCTACCTCTTAGAAGGACCCTACATAGGCCTCTCCATATTACCAATGAAACCTTTGTTAAAACTTGGGAAGTTGTAGAAGAGGATGATTAAACATGGAAAATTTTAGATGTAGGTCACATTGATAAGGCAAAGGCAAACATGGAATCCGAAATTTCAAGGAATTCAGTTTTAGTGACACTTTTCCCATGCTACCCTGAATACATTCCCATTCTTTCTCTTAATCTACTGTAAATCTAATGTATGTTAGCTCCAGATAGCAGGAATTTATGCAATGTGAAAGGCCAAAATTAGTACATTAGTCCCAATGTCATAGAACTCCAAGAGAACGGGTTGTGCGGGAAGTTAAGTAAAAGAATATAGTAGGTAGCAACCCGACTATGTTGAACTAGGACAGATATCTAGTTGTTGCTATCGGAAAATACAAGCTGTGTTAGCAATTATTCTCATTTTTCAAAAAAAGATTTTTAAGGTTAACTCATAACTTTAAAATGATGACAATTTTTACTCCCTTTTATTCTTTTCCCCTATCTCATTCTCTTCTACTTCACATATAAGAATTCTAACATACAGCTTTTTGATTATGTATGTATTGTGTGTACTGTTTTGTGCATATTTTACTTTATGTAAATGTTATTGCATTAGACATCTCATTTTTCTTCTAAACATAACTATGTTTTTAAGATTCATCCATTTGCTTTCTTGTATATTTTGTTTATTGCTTCTAAGTACCGCATGTTTATCAAGCTATACCTTCACCATCTTTTGTTTATCCACTCTCCCAATGATGGAAATCTCCAATTCCTTGCCCCCAAATAACACTGCATTTTTAAAAACACTGTGCAGGCCAAGAAATACATGTGGGTAGGTTGAATTTAGCCTTCACACTGCCACTTTGTTTATAACCTCTAATCTCAATTTGTTTAAAACCTCTAAGGCAAACCTCTTGCTCAATACCTGGAATTTCTTATCTCCTAGCTCCAAAAAAACAGAAAAAAGGGAAGAAAAGTTTTACAGAGTTCTGTCAGCCATCCAAGCATGAGAGATAACATTACATGCAACCAACATGACATTTTTAAGAGAAAATTTTTAAATTACTAAGTCAATAATGAAAGCAAGCCTACGTATCCCCCCAAAATATTGATGGATGGCAGGTATTGACTGCATTTTCTTGCATTCTCACTCTCCAATCCACTAGGTTATTTTACCCCAGCAAAGAAAAAACAAGTGTTGACACAATGGAGCTCCACCTTTATGAGTCACAGACATGCCTTTTCCAATCTTAAATTATCCCACAGAGAAACTTCCTGTTTAGGAAGAAGCTGAGGTGAGAAGCGAAGTCAAGAAAGCACACCTAGAAATGGAAGTTATATCTTTGAACGAAAGCAAGCTTGTTTTAGAAAGACACTAAAAATCTGGTATTAAGTTGCTTTGGTTCAGAAGCCTTGCTCTTCCACATGTAATGGATTTCCTACTACTGTTTTGGTTTTGTTTCCTTGAGTTGGGTATCAGTCATCTCCACCAGAACATTTCAGAGGCAAGCCTGGATGAGGGGCAAGGGAAGGAAGAAAGGAGGAAAAGCCGTTTTTTGAGAACCTATGAGAACACAGCAAGAGTCTCCAAGTGTAAACAGGAATGACAACACTGATTAAGGAACCCCTTTGAGGTCTAAAAAAGGTCCCAATTATCAGAAGATAAACTGAATCAAACATACTTCCATTCTTCACCAAAACCTTGGGCATGCGTTGGCGATTCATCAGGAGTGGGAAGGGATCTCGCCCATCATTCCGTTCATGGACCTCTCGAATGTCTACTGTATCATCCATAAGATAGTAATGAATGATGTAGTTCCGACATTCACCAAACATGCTGTCTGTATCATCCCAGATTGCGTAGAATCGAAGAACCTTTGAGAAACCCAATGCAGTGACTTCAGTAAGAGTTCTACAAGTACAGAGTTTAACTTAGTTACTTTGGCATTTATATATTATACAATAATGAAAAGATTAGCTAGAAAGACTATGAAGCAATCTCAGATGGTTAAAAAAAAGATTCACCAAAGATACAAAAACATCTGAAATTATATACCAGATGTCAACAGCTGGAAAATATTAAATAATAGGCTTATAAGTTTGTGTTGAGAAAGAAGAATTCACTTTGATCCAAAATATTAGTCACTGAAAGAAAAGCTGAATTAAAAGAGCAATGGATCCTTTATACAGTGGTTTATATGAGTTAATAAAGGTGTTATATATTGAATGGCTTATATATAATTAGTATGGGAATAATTTTCATTTATTAACCAGCCTTTTTTTAGTTCCATCAACACATTAACTTCTAGTAACAGTATCAACAACACAATCTTTAAATGCAAAATAATAACAGAAATATGACTGATATAAAGAATGTCCTTAAAAGACTATGACAGTGCTAGGTAAAATTTTCCGAGCTAAAAGAAATTACATGTCTGAGAGAAAAAATATAACAGCAAATAAGCACTGAAGGTGATCCCTCTGTTTTCTTTTTCCCTTTAGTAAACAAAAGAGACGACTGAAATCTGCTTCCATACACCAGCCTACAAGGGGGAGGATAAGAAGGCGGGGACAGAGCTGGAAAATTCCCAGAACATTCTGTACTCATACATTAACATACAATTTAACAAGGAAGCATCTGCAACGGGATTTCTGTGAAATTATTATTTTAACATTAGAAACCTACATATAGGCAATAACTTTGAAATTTCCCAATAAGTCATTTAAGGTTTCCCAAAGGATTCTACGAGATGAACTCATATTTGGGAAAGAAGCAGTCAGCTGGAAATGTAAAGTCGGAAGCAGATGTAGCTCAGGAATTGCTTTAAGATATTAAAGTTTGGTGGAAGTCACAAGACTTAATTTCACAATCTTCTTTGGGTCTCTAATATAAAACAGGCATTCCTACCCCTTGAACTGCAGATAAAACCAGAAAAATAGCATTATCCAAATGGTTACATTATAGATGTAGTGTTTCAACACACAAATCTACCAAAATCGCTTGCTAATAAACATTGTCACATTTGGAAAGCAGTAAACCTACCAAGGTGCCTAGGTCACTTACTTGTTTGTCAAAGGTGAGAAACTGCTTGAGTTGATCAAAGTCCGATGGGGTGACATACTTACGAAGAGGCTGTTTCCGGAGTTCAGTGTAAGGATCGAGAGCCATCTTCTCAGGAGGATTTAATTCAATTCCTTGACTTTCCAAAAATACCTGAGTAGTTCAAAATCAGTAATGATCATTTTTCTTGAAGCTTCGTCAAGTATTAACTGATGGAGTGAAAATAAGTGTAATAATTTCTATGCCACTGCCTAGGTTAACTATCAGTTTGCAGCTTGAGCACGTCTTAGCAGTGCTGAGCCTCCAATTGAAACAACTCTATAATGCAGATAATAACTGATAATTACCTTAAGTGCTCTATATTACAAAAGTGATAGGCAATATGATAAGCTCTAAAGATGAGTTCCGGTCAATCAAATTTAGTTAGGTGCCCAAGCACAGAGTACGTCCCAGGACTGCTTACATACACACATCTGAAATCTAACCACTGTTTCAAACAAGATGTGACTCCTATCAGGTTTAGGGGTGAGCTGCACGATGGCAAAAGTCAGCTGAAATCAAATTCCTAACTTTCCAGCTCACTTAAAACAAGTATATGTTTAAGTCTCCCCCACAAAAAAAGTAAAGAAAGTGTACCCACAGGTTATTTTGGACCAGAAAAAGATTTCAGCAAAGCAGGAAAGACAAATCAGCCATTCAAATCTCACCAGAAAAAGTTAAGGAAAGCATCTGAACTTGGCATGATCATAAATTTCATTTTGCTGATTATTAATAAATACAATATTTTAAGAATCACTATATCTGTTAACACAACTTGACATTTCTTCTTAACACCATCACAATGAACTGTCACTTTGTTGATAATCAGAAAAAAACAATTTCATGGCATCTGTTTACATTCTGGAAATTAACCTGAAATCTGGGCTGCTTTGGGGAATTGTGTGGTTTGCTTTTGGAGAATTCAATAGAAAATATACAGAACTCAGGGCCAAAATATTTGCCTTCTAGTATTACTGCTAACTAGCTTGTAATCTTAGTATTTAAAGTTTTACTAGGCAGTCTCCAATATCCTTTCAATATTAAAATATTACGATCTTAACATTCATTAAAACTACTGAGCTGGAGATAATGACTATAAATAAAGTTCTTTCCCTTGAGATGATGTATTATTGTAGCAGGATTATTAATTGAGGCATTAAATGGGTATTTTACTCTTTTCTGTTGCTTTCAACAGATAACCAGGCCCTTTGTTAACCTTACCTTAGGGATTTGGGCAGGAATGTAGAAGTTTCCTGAGGTTGACTGTTCTTCCTGTCTTTTAGATAAAGCCTAAACTCTTTGAAAAGATTATTCTAAAGTGTCCCAGAAAGAGGGGAGAGCAGGGAATGTCTTTGACAGCAAGAAGGGAGAAAGGGGGAAATCTTCCCAAAATGGAAAACAGACACAGGTTGGTGGGTCTCAGGAGAGCATGACTACATGTGCTCTGTGCACATGTGCAGTCAGTCAGGGCCATTCAGTCTCAGGCATTCAGAGTCCCAGTGTCTCATCTAGCACCAAAGCATCAGGGAGGCAGGTGCACTTGTCATTGGACAACCTATGGACCCTGCCTGTATGACTCCTTTAGGTCTGGGAGTGCTTCCTAGTTCCCTGAGGTCTCTGCTCATGTGTCGTCTTATCTGTGAGGCCTTCCCTGACCAGCTTTTATATGCAGCAACCCCCTCTAATGCCCATCACCTTTACTCTGCTTTAGCTCCTTCTATAGCTCTTATCAACATCTGACATGTTATATATTTGTTTGCTTATTATTTGTCTCCGCCAACCGGAATACAATAACCTCCATAAGGACAATTCTTTATACTTGGCACCTAGAACAGTGCCTGGCACATAGCAGGCACTCAATAAGTATTTGCTAAATAAATTACTGAATTAAAAACATAAATGAGTAAATTCATAGGCGCTCAGTGCATGGTAAAAATTAATCACATCTGGCATTAGGTAACATGAGATTAAAGGCATAAAATAATTCATAAACTATCCTTGTTTCTAGAAAAAATTTTTAATTAAGAAAAATTTGAAGTCGATCACCTATCAACTCCATTTTGTGCTAAAGAAGGGTCGGTCTCCCTCTCTCTGTCAGCTATAAGAAAAGTTGTCAAAAATCCATACTTATGAAATAGAAACAGTAGAGGATTTTCATCAATATAAAAAATATTTTCCTTTAAAAACTTCAATATTGCCACAGGGATAGAAAAGACAGTTTGGAGAATATAATCAATAATGTTGTAAATATTTTTTAGGGGGCCAGATGGGCTCATGTCTTGTTAGGGAGACCACTTCATGGACGGTGTAAAGGCCTGACCGATGCACTGTATTTCTGAAGCTGCTGTTGAATAATGTTATATGCCAACTATAATTTTATATATATATATATATATATATATATATATATATGATCATGGACGTGGAGTACAGTATGAGGAGTGGAGTCAAAGGAATTGTAATAGATATGTATGATATTGGGGGTAGGGGGCGGTGGATTGGGGGGGGTTGTCACTTTCTGAGGGGTGAACAAGTATAACTATTGCATTGTTTTGTACACCTGAAACTAATAAAAAAATGGTTTTGTTTCAGGAATTCTTTAGATACTAAGTTTTCCTAGAATACAGCAAGTATGATTTACAGAGAAAATATAAATTGCACAAAAAATTTTCGGCTCATATCTGCGAATAGGGGTAGTGAACACTGTTTTTGTAAATTCAAACTTCAGATAAGTTGTCCAATGCCTCTTTTGTATTTCCCTCCCATCAAGGGCGCTGTCTCCCCTACTCTCTTTTTGAACTGGCGTGTGAACTGATTTCTTATTAAATGGTTCAGCTATGATGGGAGTTTAATTTCATTTGAATGGATATGTATGACTATCATTGTGAAAAAATGTCACTACATAATGTTGGCGCGTGTCAGCACATACACAAATACCAAATTAACCTATATAACAGTCCATACAGAACACATTATCTGTATCCTCCTCTTACCCTAATAAATGAAATGTATCCTCCCATAAATTAGAATGACGCCTCAGACACCAAACTTCCAAAAATATGTACTATACCTGTGTGAATCGGTCGCATTCAACAATGCGGAAAGTTTTGCCATAAATTGTAATGTTGATTCCTCGATTTAGATCTTTCCAATGGTAATGGTCTCCCTGGTCATTCTTGGCTAGCCGCTGGCGTTTGATTAACTTGCCTTGAGGGATCCCAGAGTTTTCCACAATGGGCTCTATCACAGACATGCTGTCATCCTCTAGGTAGTAGTAAATGTTCACTTGACGGATCCTATAATGCTCCTCAGTTGACATAGGAACATCTTCTTGGAAATAGGCATCAAATTTCAGTACCTGTAACACATAAGGGAAGGAGAAATGACATTGTATTAGTTTCTTATCCAAAAAATATCAAGTACCCTCCGGTAAACAGAATCACTCGGGGAGATTTGAACATTCATCACTCCTGTCTTCTAAATCAAAGGTTGCCAAACTATGGTCCCTGGTACAAACCTACCTCTGCCATCTGCTTTTATATACAAGCTAAGAATGGGTTTTTTACGTATTTAAATGATTTTTAAAAATCAAGAGAATAAAATTTCACAACACATGGAAATTACATGAAAATAAAATTTCAGTATCCACAAATAATTATGTAAATAATTAATACTTATTTGCTAATGGCTGCTTTCCTATTATAAGAGCAGAGTTGTGAGTAGTTGTGATAGAGACCATATGGGCTGCTGCTGTGGTCTGAATTGTGTCTTCCTACCCCATTCATATGTTGAAGCCCTAACCTTTAGTGACTGTATTTGGAGAAAGGGTCTTTACAAGGTAATTAACCTTAAATGAGTTCCTAAGGGTGGAGCCCTAATCCAATAGAACTGGTGGCTTTGTAAGAAGAGAGCTAGCATGTGTGTGTGTGTGTGTGTGTGTGTGTGTGTGTGTGTGTGTGTCTCTCTCTCACCACCCACTGAGGAAAGGCCATGTGAGGATGCAGCAAGAAGGCAGCTGTTTGTAAGCCAGGAAGAGAGCCCTCACCAGAAACCAAACTATCAGGAACCTTGATCTTGGTCTTCTGGCCTCCAGAATTGTGAGAAAATAAATGTCTATTGTTTAAGCCACTAGTCTGTGGTATTTTATTAGGGTAGCTCAAGCAAACTAAGACAGCTGCAAAGCCCAAAATACTTTGTATTTATCCATCATGATATATGTGCTCCAATATTCATTGCAGCTTTATTTACGGTGGCCAAGACATGGAAACAACCAAAGTGTCCTTCGATAGATGACTGGATAAAGAAGATGTGGTATATATACACAATGGAATACTACCCTGCCATAAGAAAAGATGAAATAGTGCCATTCGTGACAACATGGATTGATCTTGAGATTATCATGCTAAGCAAAATAAATCAGAAAAAGTTGAAACCATATGGTTTCACTGATATGTGGGATATAAAACTGAAAGCAACAAAGGAACAAGACAAATAAAAAAACAAAAATTCACAGACACAAACGATAGTTCAGTGGTTACCAGAGGGTAAGGGGGATGGGATATAT